CGCTTCTTGATTGGCGTACGCGACGCGTCCGGCGACGGTGCGGGTGCCGCCGACTTGGTGGATTTCGCCCAAGATGGCGCTGACGAGGCTCGACTTGCCGCTGCCGACGGGACCGACCACGATGGTCAGGGTCTTCGGGACAAGCGTTAACGTGATGTCCTTCAGGGTCATGGGGACAGTGGACGTGATCGAGGTAGAACAAGAGCCTTCATGACTCCACGTGAAATGTGCATTTTGGAATTCGACTTTGACGCAGCCATCTTCGCTAGCCTGAATGGCAGCCTGTGTGGCGACTTCTTTGGCTGCCATGAACTTACCAACGCGAGCGCATGAGGCCACAGCTTCGGATGCACACATGACAGAGCTCGAATAGATTGAGTATGGAATTCGGGCCACATTCATGTACGCCAAGATGGTGAATGCCAGCGGTGTGGTGAGTTCGTTGCCTTGGGCGATGTATACAGCAAGACACAAAGCCAGAGAAAAGACCGGGGCAATGGACAACACGACTGTGTTGAGCACGCGTTGGTACTGGTACGATCGGAGCAGGGCTAGTTCCTTGGCGCGGATGGTTTTAATGCGCTCCTCCATGTAGGTTTCCCAGGCGTAGAGCTTGACGACTCGAATTCCGTGGAGTATTTCGTTGGTGAGCTTGACTCGTTCAGCTTGGACAGTCGTCGTTTCTCGGCGAAGGTCCCCCACCGCCTTGGATGACACATATCCCCCGTACAGAATGGCGACGGTCGTCGTCCCCCCGACAAGCCCCACAATAATGCCCATGTCGATGCCGACGAGAACGAACATGATCAACAGGGTGAGTGGCGCCACCAACACCCACGGACCTCCCAAATAGCCCTGATACACTCGCTCAGAATCGACTGCAGCCAGTGTGACGATCTCCCCAGACGACAGGTCGTGTCTGGAATGGCCCGAGAGCTTCAGCGACTTGAGGTAGACACAATCCATCACGATCGACTTGGCGTTGACACCCAAATTCGACGTCAAGAATTGACCAAAGTCATTCATTGTCACTGCCAAAAACGACGAGAGAGCCAAGAGACCAGCTAATGCATATCCCGACGAGATTCCCAATGTCGTACGCGGCGGCAAATCCTCTGGCGCTTGCAGATATTCCACGAGGGACTTGATCACAGTCGGCTGAACAAGCATGAGGGCAGAGTAGAACCCGCAGATGGCAGTGGCCACACACGATTGGACTTTTAGCGTCCGCCACAGTGCGCGTGCAAAACTCGGATCACCGGAACCCTCTTCGCGCATCCAGTGGACTCGAAATCTATCGTGGAGTTTCGCTGCCGTGTCTTGGGGGCTCAGCTGCCACACGTCGTCCTCTTGCAGAGTTCGTTCGGCGCCACGGCGCATGAGTGGGTCCATCCAAACCATTGTGAGAAGGCTGATCCAGTTCACTCTCCCCATGGGGTGAGGCATGTCCCGCCATGGCGTTTCTGCGCTGGGCATGGACCCGCGTGGCGAGTCCATGGTAGCGTACTCGCAGTCGTCATGGACAATTTGGCGGATCGCGCGCTTCATGTGTTGAAAGTGGACGAGCTCAATCGAGTATACAACCACCAAGGAAGCGCAAGAACGACAATGTCGTTTCAACCAGAGTGAGGTAGTGTTCCGATTTGATATTCGTTGGCAACGAATTTGTTTGCTTGACTGTTGTGGTCAGTTTTGTGGAACGTTGGTCGACGTGGCATGTTGGTTTGAAATGTTCACTGACCTCTTGCCGGTGGACGCCTTCGACTGCGAAGGACGAACGTGGAGACAGGTCCGGAGCGCCACACCAATGCCCATAAGACAAGTCATGGCGGTGCAAGTAATCCGTCATTCATGCATCATGGCATCGTCCGCAAGGGCGGCACCCATCGCCAGGACGCTCGAATTCGACGTACCGCTGCAGTGGCCAGTCGACTCCGCAACGGAACGATATTGCGTGCGTGGCCACACGCCTTGCCACAGTCATCAAGTGTGCAAATTCCCCGCGTCACTCGTGCGCGACGTTTTCTCGTTAAACACCGTGGACAGTGGATTTGTTCGATATTGACGTTGGCTCCCAACTCGGCTGCACAAGGCTCGAGGCGGACGGATGAACGCGGCATTCGACATGTTGGATTGAAAGTGTGCTGGCGTCTTGTCGTGGTACGCAGGTGCCTTAGGCGGCGAATGGGCGGCGAGTGGAGATCTGCACACCCAATCAACGACACGTGATACGGTGTGGCTCGGATATTTCGCCACTGTTACATGCGCAGAGGATACCCACGAAGCAGTCGAACAGAGTGATTTGGCTGGACAGCAATTTTGAAAAAAGACTCATGAGCGTTGTACACGCGAGTATTTAGAAGTTTGTATACGCGTGATCGGAATCGAAAATTAATGCATGGACGACTGACTGTACCTAGAAAAAAAGCCGATATGAGGCTACTGATTGGCCACTAGAAATCGAAAATATGCAGGTTTTAACCTTGGCTACGTAGGAGATTTCAATCGACTAGTACAGTCGATACAGTTGATAGGACAGTCCCAGCACACCATCAACGTGTAATTAGTGTGTAGAAGACGTCTTGTGTGATAACGAACTACTGTATCCGACGTAGTATAGAGGATGTGGAATGTTGCCAGGCGTCTGTGGTGGTTTTGTGACTGGCTTTCCACGAAACACAGTCCACTGTATCGTCGACTAACATCGACCACGCTGTCGCATCGTTCGTTCGACCCTCGATTTGCCTGCCTCTTCATATGCCCACGTTGTGTAAATCTCGCATTGTGGCAACGTGAATTGGAACCTGTCAATTTGGTGCAATTTAAAATAGTGTGCATCACATTATTTAAGTAGCCTCAGACGAATTGCACGTAGGCATTTTTGGCCAATCATGGGCTAAGACACTATGTTGCTTTAGGTTTTGCCCGCTGCATATTTGATAACAACGCTTGCGAGTTTTTTTCGGGTGGAATGTGCACTTCACACCACCTGTCATCACATACGTCGGCGAGCGCAACGGAGCCAATGGACGGCGAGGCACATTGAGCCAAGTGGGCTGCGCTCTGTCCTGCCTACTGTTTTCTCGTCCTCGCCACAAAAGCCGTCGAAGTCGTACTTGTGACGGTGATATCAGTCACGTTCGGCCTGCCGATACACTACGACATGCCCATCGGATCTCGTCGTGCACTTTGTGACGGCACGACTGGTTCCATCTCCACGCTGGTCCCTTGCAAAGACTTTTCACCGCACTTTTCATGGCCGTTCGAAATATGCGACAACGAGGGGCGGACACGCAAACTCCCGCGCCCGAGACGCCAACGCGTACGCATGTTCTTCAAGCGTATCTTGAATGCCGTTGGGTGCTCCCGCTTCGATACAGCTCTGCATCTTGATCTTTTTGCATGGTGCTGGCATGTTGGTGGGTCAATGCTGCTCGCACTGGCGCTGTACCACTCGGAAGCATGCGCGCATGAACTAGACGACCCCCTCAGCGCGTTGGACTCCGTGGTGGCACGCACTCTTTGGAGTTGGAATACGGCGCCACAGAACGGCGGTGGTTACTGTCGGCGACGACACATTTCGCGAGCTGGCTCCATCGTTGCAGCATCTCTGCGCCACAACGAACGGCACCGTAGTGAATTCAGCCGTCGAGTTCTGTCCAGCCGAATCTTTAAGTGCTATGCCCTTCCCTTTCTCGGCTGTCAACCGTTCAGAGCGAAATGCTGCAGGTTGTGTAAGGTGAGCTTCGCTAACTGCAGTGCGTACGGTCAGTTGACCAGACCGCAGGAATGGACCATGTGTCGCGGTATCGGTCGTGCTGGCATTTGCCCAAGCCCACGTAAGCGCGATCTTGACGGTCTGGTACATGGGCCAGTGGTCAGCCAGGTCGGCACCGCCGTCGTCATCCAGGGTGGCTATATGGCGCAGGCCCTGGCTTCCGTCTTGTTGCTGTGAGGACGCAGCGTATACTTTCTTTACATCACGGCGCAGTGCTCCAAGGTACTCCACCGCGCTGTGTTTGCGAGCGCTTCGTGCCGGCGTCCACGCTATCTTCAACGTGATGCCTGTGGGTACACATCCTCAACAGGTTCTCAAGCGACCGCGACCCAGGTGACAGCATTTTGTCGTACGGAAGCGTCATGTGCCTTCAATTTACCCCTCAAGCGACTGCCATCTTGGTTGTGCGAGTTGCAAGTTCACCGTCCGTGATGGCTGTGCACGTTCCATTGACGGCCGTGTTCAACTTCGACCGCACAGCGTCCCAATCCAAACGGATGGACAGTATAGTTCTGTCCCCTGTCGTGTCCTACGCCGGCGCCGACTGTCCTAAATCCGTATCAAATGCAGCATGCGATGATGGCGACGCTGTTGACCATACCCAGCACGTCCTCATGCCCCACCGTCTGCCTCATTCGTCTGGACGTGTACAGGGGTCGTTGCGGCCGTAGCGTCGCTGCAAGGGACCACGAAGGCGTAGCGTAGAAACACCGCTGCACATTTCACATCCATGTCGCACTAGTCGTAAAATCTGTCGCGTTGGGCCATTGGAGCCACTCTCGTCGACAACCTCATGACATGCGTCGAACGGTTCGATCATGACGCCAATACTGAAGCCGATAGCATCGATGAATCGTAAAGTGCTCGTAAACGTGGACATGGACTGGCCTGTGTTAAGATGAATCTCGTTCGAGGCGTCCTCGATGCGGTACCGAAGCCACCTGGACTTGGTGCTCAAGAACGTGTCGTTCACCGTCCAGGCCGGAGAAAAGGTCGGCATTTGCGGACGCACCGGGTCCGGCAAGAGCTCGCTCATGGCGGCCCTCTTCCGCATGGTCGAAGCAACCGACGGACGCATCCGCATCGACGGCGTCGACATTGCCACCGTCGACCTCCACACGCTGCGGTCGCGCCTGACCATCATCCCGCAAGACCCCGTCCTCTTCAGCGGGTCGCTGCGCTTCAACCTGGACCCGGCCAACGAGGCCAGCGACGACGAACTGTGGTGCGTGCTGAAGAAGGTGCACCTGGCAGACGTCGTCGAGGACGGCCTCGAGTTTGTCGTGGCCGAGAAGGGAGGCAACCTGTCGGTGGGCCAGCGCCAGTTGGTGTGCATCGCGCGCGCGCTCCTGCGTCGGAGTCGGGTCGTCGTGCTGGACGAGGCGACGGCCAACATCGACTTGGAGTCTGACCGTCTCATCCAAAACACGATCAAGGACTGTTTCGACGGCGTCACCATGTTGGTTATCGCGCACCGCCTCGACACGATCCTCGACAGCGACCGCATCTTGGTCATGGACCACGGCAGCGTCGTCGAATACGGCACGCCCAGCGCTCTCTTGGCGATTGAAGGCGGAGCATTCGCTCAGCTTGCGTCTCATGTCAGGCTGACCAACTCGTCGCTGGACGATGTGTCGTGCTTCGAATACCTTGGAAGTCAAGCTTATGGGTAAGGGGCGTGTGGGTGGTGCAAGTCCCCCGCGAATGCAACTCGAACGATAAGAATTAAATACACGGCATGCATCAACACTAGAATTCAATCTCGGACGGGCTAGCGCAGGCGTGGGGTGTGTAGTTGTCAATGCCTCGATAAGCCAGATGTGCAAACATTTGCTCAGCGCGGTGGAGGAACTCGTACCGAAGCAATTGGTCGCGGCCGGCCGCGTTCAACACTTGAAACGCCGATCCTTGATCAGTTGGGTCCGGTACGTCCAAGCGTTCAGTAGGGGCCATGCTCAGCCTGTGCACGTGCTCGAGGGATTGAGCATCGCGGATATGTTGGGCCACGCTGTCCATGCTTGTCCGCCTTGTTCCATCGGGCTGCAACGACAATCCCGTGGACTTCCTCGACACCTCGTGGGCAATCGTCGTGCCTTGGCGCACCCACCAGTCCTTCGATTCAGGCAGCGATCCCGAGCGGCGCCACTGGCACCGTGGTCGATGCACGGATGACATGGCACTTTGAAGAATGGCGAGAAAGAGGCCATGTTGAAACGAGCCAATCACGGACGGACTCGCCTTTCCACGGCGGCTCAGGACGACTTTGACTTGAAGGTTGTATGCGCACGGTCGTTCATTCGATGGGAAACGACAGTCGACCGAGAGGAGCCGCTGGACGTGTTGGAGCAAGATGGAGCCGCATCGCATTTCGCTAGGACGTTTGGGCCAAGGAAGACGCCACTGGTGGTATGCATGGGCAAATGTCATCCACCACCTGATTGGGGTGGACGGAGCGGTTACATGCATCAATATCGAAACCACCCGTCGTCGGCGTAGAGCGGTTTCGATCGCAAACTCGTGGGGGCGATGCCGCCTATCAGGCCCGTGACCAAGTTTGCCGCCATGGGCCCGTCGTCGCCTAGTGCGGTCATGACCCGGGTGCAGCCGGTCAAAGCCCGCCGTCCAATTCCAAAGGTCCGTCGCGACCGTGACGCCGACTCATCGTTGTCCGTAGTTTCAAACGTCCATGAGTCTACCAGCCCAGTTTCTGAACCGAATAGCACGGTCGCCGTCGAAAGCCGCCTTCATCGCGACCACCGCGGCTGCCCGGCGGCATGCATGGTTCCAAGCGATTCATCCACACAGCCCCGCCATGAAGAATTGGGACCTCTTCTCCATCGCACTGCTAGTATTTACAGGTAAAAACACGCCGCCTCCCGACACTACAACCACGTTGCATCTGTCCTTAATGTGTGCGCTCCAGCGGTCGTGACGCCCTTCGAGACAGCGTTCACCGTCACGACCGTCGACTCCTTCCTCTTTGTTCTCAATCGCTTCGGTATGTATTGCATCGAAGTTGGTCTGGACTCAAATGCCTGGGCAGTCGACGCGTGCTTCGTCGCTGATGCCGCCCTGCACTTCTTTCTCATGGTACGACTGCACCCGGATCGGGGCGTTGGCTCATGCGTTGGCATTAGTACTACGACGAAGCCAGCAGCGTGTGGGTTTCGGATCGGCGCAAGATCGCGTGGAAGTACCTGTCTGGATGGTCCGCGTCTGCCGCACCCACCCGTAAACGACCCGGACTGACCGTCAGTCTCGCAGGTTTTTCCTGGACGTGATCTCGATGCTCCCATTCGACTTGGTCGGAATCGCCATCGATAACAACACGGTCAAGCAGCTGCGGTTCACGCGCGTCCTGCGGTTGCTCCGGCTCATGAAGATCCTCAAGGTCCTTCGCGGTAGGCAACGTCTCCATCGTTGACCCTTGCCGCCCCTGACGCCGTTCCTGCAACACCAGGCGCGAGCAACTTTCGTGTGTGGGAGTCCAAGATGAGCATCAACTACGCGACCATCGCGCTAGCCAAGTTTTGCGTCCTCGTCTTCATGACGTCGCACTGGATGGCGTGCATCTTTCGCATGGTGGTTGACATCGAAGAGTTTGTCGACCCCCTCGGGTTCAAATTCAACTGGATGACCGAGCACAATATGGGCGGCGTTTCCATTGCAAAGAGCTCGCTTGCGATCCAGTACATGAGCGCTCTGTACTGGTCCGTCATGACCTTGACCACGATCGGGTACGGGGACCTCGTCCCGACAACGCCAGGCGAGCGGTCGCTCGCCATCATGTGTATGCTCATCGGCGGCGGCACGTACGCGTACGTGGTCGGGTCGGTGTGTCAGATCCTCAACTCGATGGACGCGTCGACGACGGAATTCCACCAAACGATCGATACGCTGAACGAGTATTGTCACCACAACCAGCTCCCGGGCGAGCTCTCGGCCCGTCTCCGCGAGTACTTTCACTCGTCGCGCACGCTTCTGCGCGAGCGGCAGCACCACAACCTTCTCCTGACCATGTCCCCCGGCTTGCGAGGCGAAGTCGCGCTCTACAACAACCAGTGGATTGCCAAAATCGATTTCTTCAACTGCAGCAACGAATTCGAACGCAATCAGTTCATCACGGCGGTAGGTCGCAGCCGCATCGTGTGCCGTCGTCGTCGCGCTGATCCTGGCGCGGTAGGTGGCGCTTCTCCTTCGGCGCGAGTGCTTTCCGCCCAACGAGTTCGTGATTCGAGAAGGCGAGTTCAACACGAAAATGTACCGCCGGACGTTCATCCAGAAAGTCGATGCGCTTAGGCATTATCGAGTAGGTACCTCGTCCAGCGCGGACTAGCGACGAAGGGTAAAGTTATGTACTCGGGTGGCACGTTCTTTGGCGAGGTTGGTGCGAGGCACCGCAACGCACGACTGACCAAGGGCTGGTGCAGGACATCATTTTGACGTTGCGGCAGCGCAAGATTGCCGTCCGAGCGTTCTCGTACTTGCACGTCCAAGCGCTGTCCAAGTTTGAGCTCGAGGAACTTATTTATTCGGGATTGTACCCCGAGATTCAGCGCAGCATTCGGCGGCAGGTGCTCAAGACAGCTTTCAAGAACAACTTTGTCAAGTTTAGCCAAGACACATTGCGCCGCCGGAGCTCGTCGTACCGCGCGAGGAGCTCCATCTCGTCGGCGAGCAATCCCCACATGATGGTACGTGCTGATCGGGCCTGTCGTGCTCGCGTCATCTGCAGCGTAGAGCCCGATGCTGCGGTCGACGCTCGGCTTGAACGTTCCGTTGGGGCTGTACCAAGACTTGATGCCGAAACCAACGCCCCCTGCAAAGCCCGTCCATGACGAAGACACTGGTACGTTCCAACGCCACCATCGACCGACGACCCACGCTCGACATCCTTCTTGTCCCTCCTCACTCGGTCCCACGATAGTCGACAACATTGTGGAGGGCGTGTCGAACGTCATTGATGCTAACTTTGTCAAGTACGACCAAGGGCTGAACAAGAAGATCGATCAAGTGCTCGCGCAGCTCGAACGGCTAGAAAAGTACGTTGCTCCGAACGTGATTTTCTCGCCCGCGCCGCAGGCCATGCCCAAAGTGAGTGCGCCGACGTCGCAGCCGACCAACAGCGCCGTGTACTTGGAGGCCGTCCAGCAGCTCGAGCGCGGCGAAATTCGGACGCTGGTCAAAACCAACAGCCGACGGATGTCGATGGGGATGTTGTAGCATTTGTAAAGCACCCATCCATCCATCCATTGTCTGTCCATGTCGGGCGAGGGATCTCCATCGCAGCCGACTCCTGTCGTGCTCTCGCCGACCGTGCACGGCACACACGCATCTCCCACCACCTCCTCAAGCGCCCTCGATGCACTCTGATCGTCATGACATCGACATCTCGGTCGACATTCCATCCTACTTTGTAAAGACTTGAACCGTATGCACTTCGAACCGGCCTTGGTACTGCTCTTGTAAGACAAGGCGAAATGCGTTCCAGAACGGATAGCCCGTCGCTGGGTTGTGCCCCGCCGCACACGCCCCCGTGGGTGCGACGCCCCAGTACATGTTGGCGTTGTTGTAAATCTTGTCTGTGGCGACCCCTCCTTCCGCCGACACGTCCACCGTGTCGCCGCTTCGGGTGATTTTTGGGTTGCGAATCTGCTGGATGAACTGCCCATGACCGTCGGTGCCAAACACAACTGCCATCGAGATCTTCGCGTTCCACTCGACCTTCCACTGCGCCGCTTGGGACCCGACATTGGGCTGTCGTACGTAGTACGGGGCAAAGCAGTTGGTGGACGCCATGTGCATAGTCGACTGACCAAATGACGAGAGGCCGCCGCCCCAAAACGCATCGGTCGTCCCGGTGTGTCCGATCGCTGCGTCGCCATTGAACATTTCAAAAATGTCGTATTCGCCGCAGTTGGGCCACCGAGGGTCGCCGAATTGACTGGTCAATGCCGTGGGAAGCATCCAAATGTTGGCGTCCGACCCGGCGTACACGGTCCACTCGAGGTAAATGACCTTTTCGCCGGCCCACCCTTGCTTCGTTCGCAACACTGGCGACCGCTGGTACGACTGGCCAAAGGTCGTGACTTCAATCAGGTTGGACTTGAAGCCTTCCTTGGCAAACGTCGCCGGCATGTCGTTGTCGCCTTGCCATTCATCGATGTTGAGCCAGTCGAACTTGGTGTCCTTGTAGGGCAATCGGGGCTTGGTTGCGGTCGGGGCGGGGGTCGTGGGTTGCGTCGTTGTAGGCGCTGTCGATGGGGCGCCTGCGTGCGTCTCATAGCCCAGCACAGTTGGGGTCGTCGTCGGGGCGGTGGAGTCTCCGACTGAGTCTGGCGGTGGGTGAGTTGGTTGGGAATGCCCGTTCGACGATGCGCCGCTGTCGACAAGGCTTTGGCTCTATCAAGAGATGAGGATCAGTGGCGTCGACTGCAATGGACACGGTGCGTACAGACAGTGCGTCCGACGACGACGCGGCCGCACCAGGGACGGAACTGCTCCCGGAGAAACCCACAGCGCAGCCAACGACGAGTGCCACCAGGACGACGCACGCGCCGAACGCCATGCGCAATTGTTTCCGACGGGCGCCAGAGGCTGTGATCGCTTCGTCTTTCGCGTCATCCTCCAGGTCAACGATGACGGGGGTGTGGGCAGTAGACGCTTCTGGCGCTTGCCGAGCACTGGAGACAGCACTGAAGTCGGTCACGACTGGGGTTGCCATCGCAGAATCGTCTGTGCACTCGCGCAGGATGCCATCTTGGGTTCACTCTTGCTATATATAGACAACGTACGCGCGACTACAGGGCATGAGAACCAAACACCAACACGCCCGACTAAACGCAGCAGCCAGCGTCTTTATCGCCGAGACTTCTGTGGCATGACACTCCTTGGGTGATCCACGACTGTGGCTTGGGGAGGACATGGGTTCGGAGCGAACGCCAGGCGCCATGCCTCCGCCTTGATGATGGGTTCTGACGTCGAAGCAGTAGTGATGAGCGACCCATCGCCATTCACGTCACCGATTTCGGGGGGAGGTTGCGGTGTTGCGCTAGAGGGAGAATGCTAGTTGAGTTGCGCGCATTGCCATCAACTGGCATTGTAAAGGGACCATCGTTGGTTAGATCCAACCCTTGCTTGGTCACAGTTCTAGGTACGTCCTGGGCTCGTCCTCTTCGTGAAGGGGGTAGCGACAGGATGGCTTCGAGTCGCCGAGCCAAGTCCATGACGGTTCTGAATTCGGTCATCGAACTCAACAATCTTGAGACTCGCCATGATTTCGTTGAAAATTTGGTATAATTTTTGTATATTTTCGATGTTCTGTCATTGTGGTGCCATAGTTACAATTGTGGACCTGCGGACATGGGGACGTTCGGAGCATTGAGTGATGAGGAGGAAGGAGAGATCGTCGAAGATGAACAGACGAAGCTCGAGGCCAAAGCAGCAGTGGCAGGTCTAGCGCCACTTGGTACGGCAGCTCCACCTGCGGACAACCCTCCGTCCACGAAATCGAATCCTCCAGACAACAGATCTAACGACCACAAGCGTGCCGCACCGGAAACTCCATCGCACGGAGGTGATACAAAGCGCCGTCGAGTGGACAGCAACAAGCCGCCGTCCGCAGACGCTGCAGACAAGAATACACACGACACACTCTCGATGGCTGAGCGCAAAGCACAGCTGTCCATACTACTTCGGGAGCCGTTCCAAGTCCGAACCAGTCGTGTACTGCTGAATTTCAATTGCTGGTTTGACTCCGTGCTGAGGTATACATGGGTGCCTCGCATCAGCGCGGACGACTTGCAGTCGATCCTGCTCCACTTCACCGACCCTGTCCAGTACTCGAACTCGAAATACCTCGAAGACTGGGACGACGAGTGTCGCCCTGCAAAGCTGTGCTTTGTACTCGCCAAGGGGTTTCATCCCGACGTGCTGTCGAAGGCCATGACCGCCAAGGACTCGCCGCTGACGTTCTTCACATCGTGCAGTTCGATGCCGCTGGCGTTGTCAACGACTGCAGCCATGGAAAGCAATGCCAAGATCAAGGAGATGCCGCTGCCTCGTCTGCTTTCCCGATTTCCATCTCCCCTCATCGACCTCGAGTACTACGCTCATCATCATCAAAACGCCGCGTGCTAACAAACCCTTGTCTTCGTAGAATGCTTGGCTCGGACGATTTATTTGGGGCTAAAGTGGAGCTCACGATGTTGGCGATCTTCACAACGGACCCGCCTCCACCGTCAACTTTGTCGGCGACGGCTCCACCGCCGTCGAAGGGTGGATGGACTGACGAGCTTTTGTTTCATCCGGCAGGGACGTTTTTTCGCAAAACGACCAACCAAACCGGCGACTGGCGCCTCGACGGCGACCTCCTCCATCTCTCGTGGAAAGTAGCGCAGTCGTCCGAAAAGGACAACGCCAACGTGACGGCCATCGATGTGCTTCAAGCGGACGACGACTCGCTCCGACGCTTTCGCACGAGCGACCACCTCGACGCCACGTACGCTCCGACCGCCCCAACGGCGAAACCCCGCCCCAAGCGCCAGCTGCGCCTGACGCTGCTTCGCGCGGCGGCCATTGGGCCGTCGGTCTCCGCTTCTACACGTTTCCCCAAACTCCCCACGGACAACGATCGTCCAGACTCGCTCCCGCCGGTGTCGTACTACCTCTTGTCGTACGCGGACCGCCTCGCACATCAGTACCCCGTGGACATCGCCGCTGAACAAAGCGCCCTGGCCAAGAAGACGAATGGCCAGTCCACCGACGTGTTTGTGACGACGACGGATCTGCCATCGCTCCCCGAACCCAACGTCCTCGCCGTCGATTGCGAAATGTGCGAGACTGTCCTCGGGTCCGAACTCACCCGTGTGACGCTAGTCAATGCCGACGGCGCCGTCGTGTACGACCAACTCGTCAAGCCGCGCCACACGATTGTCAACTACCACACGGCTTTTAGCGGGATCACGGCCGAGATGCTGGACGCGGTCGACGTGACGCTCGCGGACGTGCAACAGTCGCTCCTCGGCACGTTGCTGTACGCTAACACGGTCCTTGTCGGCCATTCCATCGACTCGGACCTGCGGGCGCTACGAATCGTTCACCCGCATCTCATTGACACGGCTCTGCTGTACCCCCATCCGCGAGGCTTTCCGTTCAAGCCGTCGCTGAAAATGCTCGCGGCGACGTTCCTGAACCAGTCGATTCAGTCGGCTGACATGGCGGGTCACGACTCATGTCAGGATGCGGTCGCGGCCCTTGAGTTGTTCCAGATGAAAGTCGCGAACGGCCCGACGTTTGGATTTCCACCGACGCCGCCCGAGTCGGCGGCGTACATGACGTTGGTGGACAAGTGCCACCAGAGTCGGTTGGGGGTGTACACGGCGCGGCCGTCCGCGGACAAGGAAAGCGAAGTCAAGCCGTGGAGCTTGTTCTCCAGTGGCGAGTGGGCCGATCTCGTCGCCAGCACGCATTTGCACAACCAGCCGAGAGATGATGGCACAACCAAAGTCGACCAAGGCGGCAGCAACGCGCCAAGCAACTGCTTCGTTGCCCCGGTCGTAGCGTCGCTGGTGCAAGTCGCCGACCAATTGCAAACGCACGGAGCATCCCAGGACGTGATGTGGATTGAAGTGGACGCCGCGCGGACTGACCCTGCCGTCTACATGGCGACTCCGCACGTGTGGAAGCAGGACCAACACGCCCAAATCGTCGCCCTCAACGACGAGTTGACCGCCGTCCATGCTGCGCTGCCGCCCAACACCCTCCAGATTGTCGTGCCGCAGGTCGACACGTCCTCGCGGTGTATATCCATCACCTGATATGCAACTTTTCTAGGCCGCGTTGAACCTGTTTCGACACTTGCGCGGCGTGCGGCTCAAAACCAAGTGGGGCGATGGATGGGACAGCCAGTGGACTGACCGCGACCTCAAGAGCCTGCAGTACGCGCTCAGTGGGGCGCTCGACAGCGTCGTGTTCCTCAAGCACAAAAAGCCATAACGACCAACGGATTGTCCATAATGCGTTGATTAATCCGAGTCTTCGTCGACGGTGCGTCGGCGCTTGGACGCCGACGTGTGCGGAATCATGTCTTCGTCATCTTCGTCATCGTCGTCGTCCACTTCGACGGCGCGATGGCGTTGCTCCTGCTTCTGCTGCCTGTACTCATCCAAGCCACCAGGTCGCGGCGCGGCGCGGCGGGACGCCGCCGACGTGGCTTTGTTTTTGGCCTTGTGGCCGTATTGCTGCTTGATGGCCGACAAATTGTTGTCGTCTTCGTCTTCGTAGCCCTGCGCCAGACACAGTAACACACGTGTTGAAGCACGAACCGAACGCACCTCTTCCAGAAAGCTCGAGTCGAGACGACTTGACCGGTCGCGGTCATACTCGTATCCCTGGCGCTGTTTCTTGCGGTTCTCCAACCGCATCTGCTCCTGCTTGACCGCGGCGCGCTGTTCTTTGTCGAGTGTGCCGTCGATTTCGGACACGTACTCTTGGATGCGGACCACGGCCTTGTTGTGGCGCGCGCGCATGGACATCTTGAGACTCTGATGCGACGACGACGCCGTCGAGATCGGGCGGATGGTGAGTTTCGACTTGACGCGGCCATGGCACTCGAGCACGGTTTCGTCAGTCGATTGCTACGAAAGACCACATGATGACACGACGATGGAATGAACGGACGCCTTACCTCGTTGACAAAAACAAACGAGTTGGCGACCTTTTGCTGCGTCAGCGTGAGCACTTCGTCCCCCACGCACATGGTAAAGCTCCCGTCCTCCCACTTCACGATGCGCGAGTTTGTTTCGCGCATGGGGAGGCCCGTCTTGGGGTCCACCTTGGATCGAGCATGTCATTCGAGGTGGTGGTCGGTCCAAGGTAAGAGAACTCGGCATACCATGATGCGACCGCTTGCATCTAACTTGTATCGCCAACGAACGTAGTTGCGGTAAATGCCTTCGTCACCAGTTTCTTCCTTTTCCTTCTTGATGCTTTCCGTCGTGAATGCATCCGGCACGAAGCGGAGGACGTTCGGGGGACGAGTGAAGAACAGGTTTGTCTTCTTCGGGGCTTTGGGGCCTTTTGGGATGCTCAACTCATCGTGGTGGACATCGTCGACTTCCCGCGTGTTGCTTCCGTTGAAAGCGCGCGTCGATGCAGTGCTCGAATTGGTGGAGGTTGGCTCGGGGCTGTCGCGATCGGTGTCCCGAACAGGATCTTCTTTGATTCCCCTACACGACCAACCTCGTCAAGCAATGGATTCCTGCGTCGGACATCATCTGGACCACATACGATGCTTTGAATTCTTCTTCGGATTCGTAGTCGGACCCAAACAAGTCGGCCATGTCTTCGCCATTGTCAGACCCACCATCGTCGGCAGCGGCCTTCTTGTCGTCAGATACGGTAGGTGCCTTCGTCTCGACATCAGAGATCTCGTCGTCGTCATCGCTGAACAATGCCGCATTGCCCTTCTCGGTGGGCTTGCTCTTGGGCAGGGCCACCTCTTCCTCGCTGGACGACATCTCCAGCCGCACAAACGGGCGATTCCGCGTTATCCGGTGAAATATCCGGACATGTTTTATTCGAGGACCAATTACGCAATATTACCTCTTCAAATTCATCATTAAAACGTACGTTAATCCCATTGATTAAATGGATTTTTGTATAAAACGTAAACACTGGAGTATAACATGTTTCCACCGACTCAATCGGCTCATTACCAAACATTGGAGGAGAAAAGTAGTCAGGAGGAGCAGAACGCCGCGCGCGTGCGCGATGGGACAGGACCGAAGCGATGGTCTTGGGCCCGGCGCTGCGCCATAACGATCCCCATCGTCCAGTCGTCGCCGCTCTCCGGAAGTTGTGTCTCAAAATTTACTAGCGTCGCGGGATGGCAACATCCTGTTGACACCGAGGTCACGGGACCTATGATTTTTTGGTCAAAAGCATCGAAGGTATTCTGGCGTGGGGGGCGAGAGAACTAAGGCCGCTTGTCCAAGTTTGACTTGTGGAATTCACCTCTCAAACATCGTCGTGTTGATGTGTGTGCATTCGTTCAGGCGTTGTCGGATGGTCGGACAACCCGCAAGCTCCGGTTGCCAGCCATGGGTGCATCCAATGCAGCGTGCAATGAGGCCTACGTTCGACGAGGGGCCAGATGGGCGAGCTCCCCGTACATCCCTGTGGTGCTCGTCCAACGTCACCCACGCATGCGTGAACCCTTGTCATGTTGCGCGGCGGCTGGCTCGCCGGCGAACCCGCTCCACGTCGTTGGTCACCCTCAGCAATGCATCTGGTGAAGCCGTTTCTTGAACTCGAGACCGTCGAATTTTATGCGAAATTTGAAAACGGAATACAAACACCAAGATAATACAATGCAACGGAAAGTCCACCTGTCCACGAACATACACTTGAAGTTTGTATGCCATGCAGAAACCTTGCACACCTGATATCAAGTGTTGGAGACTGACTTACTTCTGCCAGAAAAGAAACTTGAACTGGCTCGTCATTCTCTCAAGAAACTCGCAAGTGAAGATGGAGTCGCGGCAGTACCAGCTCGTTGTACTTGGAAGTGGTGGTGTCGGCAAGTCTGCGCTTGTCATCCGTTTGGTCACAGATAACTTCCTGGAAGACTATGATCCGACGATCGGTACGTCTGGATTGGCCTCCCTTGCCGCATGAGCAGTGCCTGATCGTGGTGGGCGAACGTGGTAGAGGACAGCTACCGCAAGCAAGTCGTGATTGACCAACGACAAGCGCTTTTGGACATTTTGGACACGGCAGGACAAGAAGAATACACGACGATGCAAGACGAATGGATGCGTGAAGGAAAAGGCTTCCTCTTGGTGTACAGCGTGACGAGCCAATCCACTTTTGACGATATCAAAAAGTTCAAAGACAAAATCCTGCGGGCCAAGGATATGAACCGTGTCCCGATGGTGTTGGTCGGGAACAAGTGTGACTTGGACCGCAACAGACAAGTGAGTTTGGCGGCAGGCAAGGCGTTGGCCGCCGAGTGGGGTTGCCCATTCATGGAAACATCGGCCAAGGAGCGCATTCGCAACGAAGAGTGCTTCTTTGAAGTGGTCCGCGAAATCCGAAAACAGGACGCTGCCAAGCGGCCTGCGCCCAAGTCGAACGGAACGAAGAAGAAGGACGAAAAGAAAGGCGGCGGTTTTTGCTCGATTCTCTAGACGCTTTTTACAGCATTCACTTCATGCTTCGTCGTTCATGTATGGCGCTCAATATTAGACATCACGATAACTTCATCTTGAATCGACTTAACGAGCTACACAGCGATGCCGTAGAGGTACCGTATCCGATACTGCATGATGTCGCGGGGGCACTCGTCCATGTACTGCGCCAACCACCCGATCAGTTCCGACTCGGACGAGCCAAAATCGTCCTGGTAGACACGCAGGATCCGAGGTAGGCGCAACGTTTTGGTCGCAGCCTCCACTTGCACTTGCTTTTGGCAAAACAACCGCATGTACCTTTCCAAGTCGGTGTCGGTCTGTCGAGGTTTCAGTATTGGCGCGTCTTCAGGCTTCGTGAACGGCGGCGATTGCTCGAGGAGGACGAGCAAACTCCGCGGGTCGCGGGTGTGGAAGCAATAGGCAAGGCGTGGGTCTTGGGCTTCGAACTGGCGACCCCAGAACGCCGACGGCGGTTTGCGGTTGCACCGAAGGATGCCGTGGCGAATGTCGCTCAAGCTGAAGTCCATCCCATCTACCACCATACACACGGACGCATGAGAACTCGGCATTCCGGCATACGTGGCTCCCGTCGATTGCACGTACCAATGCGGTATGCAATATCGCGTTCAAACGACTTGTATTGGTCGGAAGTTTGTGGCAGCCCGACTTCGATGAGCCCGTGGAGGACCATCGTGTTGTAAATATTGATGAAAAACACTTGCCGGTCCTTTGACGTCAGCTTGGAGATGCCAACGGTCTGGAATGCACTCACGGTTTGGAGGAACTGGCGGTACTGACGACAGCTCGTGTCCGCGGCGGGTTTGGACAAGTTCCAGTGGAGATGGATTCCCGCGGGAAATTTGGGGTTGCTGTGAAGCTCCGCTGCCATAGCGCGTGCATGGAGGCACAACTCAAGCGGTTGGTCCGTGGATGCGGTATTTGTCGGCGCCAAGTACCGAGTGTTCAACGGGCTGCCATCGCGCGTGTCGATTTGAAATCGAAACAGGTTGTCGACGCTGCCGAGGGGACTGTTGCCGTACACGAGATGCAACGAGTGCTGCTGAAGCAGTTCGTGGATCGCATTGTACGCTAGGTCGAGGAGGGTTTCGTTGTTCAACCGGTCGGCGGGGTGCTGCTTGGCGTAGTTGGCCTGGAACGCTTGCACGAGATCCTGGCCCGTGACCACCATGGGATACGACGAGTAAAAGTTGACTTTGATTTCGCGAGGGGTGACGAGGCAGCGCAAGCGATCGCTCAATGAGAGCGAGTCTTCCTCGGTCGGGACAACGCGGTCAAATGACCGCGACAAGAGCTCGAACGGCGTCGGTTTGTGGATGTCCAAGCCGACGACCTGCGACGAAATTGCCATCTCACGCAAACTATCCGAGTGGTTCATGGGCGACTCCATGTCATGGTCTCGGATCGACGTTGGCGGTGTCGGGGGCTGCTCCACCGCGTGCTGAACGACAGAGTTCATTCCGTTCGGTTGAGGCGCCTGGTTCATCTTGGCTTCCGTTTGCAGCGCCAGTTCAAATTCGGCCGCGTGGTCGGATAAAAACACTTGAATAGGCGCCTGGACAAACGGAAACCGGCAAATGTCTTCGATGGACGGCCGCTTGCTCGGGTCTTGTTGAAGCATGAGTTGGACCAAGAGCCGAAGCTCCTTGGAGAACGCATTGCTCGGGACAGGTTCGTACTCGCCGTGGCAGATTTTGGTGAACATTTCGGGCAAACTCTGCGCTTCGAACGGCCGCTTGAGCATTGTCATCTCATACAAGACGCACCCGAGCGACCAAATGTCCGACTTCTTTCCGTACCGCTCGCCGCGGCAGATCTCGGGGGACATGCTCTCTGGTGTGCCCACGGACGTCATCGCGAGGTCGTCGCCGCTCAGTGCCTTCGAAATGCCAAAGTCCCCCAGCTTGACCACGTACTTTTTCGTGAGGAACACGTTCTGCGCCTTGAGATCGCGATGGAGCACGTTCTTTCCGTGAATGTACGACACTGCGAGCACGAGCTGCGCAAACCACGACATGATGAGCGGTTCGGGGAAATACGTCCCGTCCTTGCGCGCCCGAAGCTTGACGACTTGCCGCAGATTGCCGCCATCGCTGAACTCCATCACGATATTGAGTTCATCGTTGTCAACGATGAAGCTGTCGTAGAAGCGCACAATATTCACGTGGTACAGGGACTTGAGTAAGATAACTTCGTTGTCCGCTTGCTTGCGTCCGTTCTCGCTGGTGGTAGCAAGGCGAACGCGCTTCACCGCGACCACGGCACCGTCCCCTCTCCGTCGTGCCAAAACCACCGTGCCATGCGTCCCTTTACCGATTGTTCGCAATACCTCCAGGTCGCGCCAAATGTTGGCAGCGTTGCTATTTGTATTGGTACTGACACGACTAGCGCCACTGTCCGTGTTGTTGCTTTTGCGCGACAGCCACACGTGTCGTACAAGGGTCTTTGCCGTGTTGTACTGGATGGGTTTGATCAAGTAGTCCTTTGCCCCTTTCGATAAGCAAGATGTCACAACGTCCATCTCTTCGTTCGACGACGCCATCACGATCGGGATATGCGACAACGACACTTCCTTCTGCACACACTCGAGGAGTTGAATGCCTGTGAGGACAGGCAGCATGACGTCGCACAACACCAAGTCAAATCGATTCGGTTCGTCTGTGAGCTTCTTCAGAGCATCGCCCCCGTTGTCCACGGCCGTGATAACATACCCGATGCTGCGAAGGATATCGATCGTGGCCATGCGCGTGAACTCATCGTCTTCCACAACGAGCACGTGCACGTCGGAGGGGTTCATGCTCACTTGTGCAGTCGGCTGGCGGCGACGAATGCCTGCAGGAAAAAATGTTTCAATTCTATCACATCGGACTTTTCCCTGTCAGTCTTTATACTCTCCATTTGTATGCCCTTTGTCGCCGGACTTCTCGACGAGGGAAAGCGTCGTGCGTGATTGGCTATAATTAAATAACAGGGCAACACGATAATTTCTTCCTGATGAACCGTCTACTATGGCGCTTGCGAGCCTTTCAGGATTGATCCAATATTATTTTCCACAGCCAAAATGACGCCAGATGCATTGTCTCATTCACTTCCGTTCGATGGCCCCATCGTGTCGTTGCGATGAAAGCGCCCGATCTACGTGGCTCTCGATTAGCAATTGCGAGTGTGGGTTACTCGGGGGGAGTGTGCTCTCCATAGGGGTCGGGGCGCTGTTCCAGGTGGCAGGCGACATGTTGCAACTTCAACAATCCCGCGACGGTGTCCCTGGGCATTCTCTCTCATCGTTCTATCGACCAAATCGGGGATGCCCCATGGGTTCGTGGCTTAGCGATAAGAATGTAACAGTGGAGACGCTCGACCTTGCGGTTCGTGACGAACGTGCGTGCAGCAAGATCTCTTCATGGCTTGCCACGTCCTCACTGTCGTTTCGAAGGATCCCATACCATGTGAGAAATGCACTCACTTGATTAGCTGAAATGCCGGGATATTTTGACCAATCGTGTTATTATTATCCATTCGCACATAAAAAATTTGAGGATTGCACTTGGTATTTGAATGGAACAATAATGTATCGAGAGATTGCAGGAAGAAATTCGTCTTCGTACTTCAGCACGGAACAAGCCCCTTCGAGGCGGGATGCAACCTGCCAGCGCACCGCTGCCATCGCCGCTGCCCGCCCAGCCGCTTCCATCAAGAACGCTCATACTATGTGTGTGCATGCATGCGTTAGCCTTCCTTGCTGTCCAGGCCTTCTTGGCGTATGTCTCTCCACTCAGTGCATTGGTCATGGCGCTCATGTGTAAGTGGACCTTTCGACGACCAATGGCATGGATGGGTCTGATGTGTCTTCATAGTCATCCCATTCCTGTATCGCTTATCGTATCAAGCGGCAGCAGAATGGAGAGGTGGTGAAGGATCTCTTGATCGCCCAAGCACGATTGGCGAGCGCCAGCGTCTCTTGCTGTCTCCGTCAGAAATCAACTTGCTCTTGACCGACCGTGACTTTGATTCGAACGGTACGTCTTCATTAACGTCCTTCTGCCTGTCCTCATCTTGTGTTAGACTACGAACGTTTGCTCATGTTGGATGTGAACAACGTGAAAAAGTCGCATGGCGCCAGCGAGTTCGAGATCAACCGCTTGCCGGTCATCACAATGAGGTACGACCTTTCACACCATTGTGAAGGTCTCAACCTTGGCCCAGTGAATCCATGGTGAATGCAAGCAGGAAGGAGGGCGGGGTCTTGGACGATGTGAAGTGCTCCATCTGCCTGGAAGAGCTATCAGTCGGGACGAAGGCACGCATGGTGCCGTGCTTTCATAGATTCCACCCAGGGTGCATCGATCCGTGGCTGAAGGACAAGGCGGAATGCCCCATCTGCAAGTACCCCGCAGTTGCATGATGGAGAAGTGTGAGTCCTGTGATAATCGATGTGTTGCGATGATGGATAACCTGTATTAATTTATATATGTTTCCCAAATCTGGCGGTTACTTCGCTCATTTGCGACGACCGCATGCGGATAGTTCAGGCGGCGGCGACGAAGAATGAAGCAGCGTCTGTCTCGTCCACTGAGATACCCTGCGCTCAATACGACGATGGTGATGACGAGGAGACAGACCCCAAGTCGCTCGCCTCTCTTCTCGAGCGTATCTTGCAAAAAGTCTCCCGGTTACCCGGCGCGCTAGAAATGCTGTCGTCGGATCCTCAGTTGTTGCATGATCTCCAAGAGCATGAATTTCTCATCTACCCCACTCCATCACACCCAACATCTCCAAATGCCACCGGTCCCCATCGACGATCGCTTTCAACGAGCCGCCAATCTGACTCGGATTCTCAAATGTCAAACAAAGACGACGATGACCTGACCGAGTCTGTGGATTTGACGTCCGAACGTTTTGGATCCGAGTATGAGGCCGAACTATTGGCCGTCGAGTCCCTTCAGCGAGGCAAGAGCATGAACATGGTTATTCCCAAGGGAGGCTCGTCGTCCCTAGCACGTCAGCCGTCAACTTCGTCGTTGCTCAAAGGGACGGGTGGCGCAGGATTTGCTGAATCGACGTCGCCCAGTTACTCCATGGGCATGTTAAGTATATCGCCTGGTGCGTCTTCGCAGGATGGAGATCCTGTATCGGCCGTATGGCCGCGTCGGCCCAACGAATTCGCGTTTTCGCAGCCGGACGAGACCAAGGACGACGAGTTGTACAACGAAGTGCTCTTCTCTGAGCTCGGCGAAGATGACGACGATGATGATGGCAAAGTGTTTGACATGGACGACCTTCCTTCAAGCTCCCACGAGAATGTGCAAGACCAGGACGATGACGACGACGTCGAGTACGAGACAATGCGTTTGCGGATAATCCGCGAGCGGCACCGCACCGGATTCGAACCAAGCCAAGAGTTCGACCCAGAGCCTGGCTCCCTTATCGGCGGCCTGTACACTGTGCGTTTATAACTGCTGCTTCTCATGGTTGAATGACGTGCACGGTAGGTCGAGGCATTGCTAGGAGAAGCCGTCTTTAGCCGCACGTACAAAGCCACGAACTCAAGAACTCACGCGACGGTGTGCCTCAAGATCATTCGCAACTCGAAGGAGTACTTCGACCAGGGCATCGATGAAATTCGCCTGTTGGAGACGTTAAATGCGGCAGGGGATGTCGACGAACATCACGTTTTGCGCCTGTTGGATTCGTTCTACTTCAAGGAGCATTTGGTCCTCGTCACGGAGGTACAGAAACATTCACCTCACATTTTGCAATGACGTTGTGCTGCTTTGGTCCAGCTGCTCAAAGACAACTTGTACGAGTTTTCGCGGCAAGTGCGGCACCAACAAGCTTCGTACTTCACGATGCCGCGCCTGAAAAAGATTGCCGTCGAGTGCCTGGAAGCGCTCCACTTTTTGCATGCATTGAACATCGTCCATTGCGACCTCAAGCCGGAAAACATTGTGATGAAGAGCTACCAAAAGTGCCAAATCAAGCTCATCGATTTTGGGTCGGCTTCGTATGTCACGGACGAATTGACGTACTACATTCAATCTCGTGCGTACCGTGCCCCTGAGGTTTGTATCGTCCGTCTCGCCATGCGGCTTACACGCTTTGCCCATTCAGGTCATCTTGGGGCTCCAGTACGACGAACGCATTGACCTGTGGTCGCTGGGGTGCATCCTCGCGGAGCTGTACAGCGGCCGGGTCCTGTTTCAACACGACTCGATCCCGACCCTGCTTGCAAGCATAATTTCCGTCGTCGGCAACATTCCACCTACGATGCTCGCGACGTCCCCCGACGCGAGCAAGTACTTCACTCCGGACCACTCGTTGTACACTACGGACCCCGAAACACTACAACCTCGCGTGGTCCTTCCAGCCCCGATGTCGCTCTGGCACGCGCTCCATTGCGCCGACGCTGACTTTATCGGGTTTCTCCACGGCTTGCTGCAGATCGATCCAACGCGCCGGGCGACGGCGGCCGTGGCGCTCAAGCATCCGTGGCTCGAGTCAAACGTGTACGGGATTAGTGATTTTAGTAGTAGTTAGACTCGTCACTCGATGGCGGGGAACGGATCGGACTTGCTCAAGACGAGAACGTTCAGTTTGTGCGACATAAACCCCTTGACGTAGTTTTTCACAATCAAGTTGGCGATGACGCACTCGAGGGCGTCCATGTCCATCGACGTCCCGACGAAAGCGAGCGCGGTCAGGAAATCGGTCAACTGAACCTTGTCTTTCTTGCCGCGAATGAGGTAGACCTTCTTCAACAGTGTTCGCATGACGAGGAGGCTCAGCTTTTGCATGAGCAAGTACATGCCTTGCTGCATAAACTGGACTTGAAACTCTTGCAGACACTAGTGTGTGTCGAGCATGAGATGGAGAGGACCCGAATAAATCCATACGTGGTAGAAGGCGGCGAGGTTGCCCTGCTTGATGGCGGACGCGATCGCCACATACTCGTCGAGCTCATACTGCTCGAGCAGCGCCGGCGACGGCAGCACCCCAAGCACGAGCTTGACCGGCACCAAGTACTGCAGAATCATCCTACGGTCAAGGTGAGCCGAGACAACTGTGCCTCGGTCGTACCGCTTGTTGCGTGTGCATTGGACGGGACAGTGCCGCCACGCAAAGCCAAAGCACTCGTTCGCTTCCACGTAGTTGTCCTCGAGCATTCGGATACGCCCGAGGTAGTACATGTACGTGACTTGGTCTCGCTTGTCAAAGATGCTGAAGTTCTGCTTGTTGATGGCCTGGATGACGTTCCCGCACAGGTTGATCTTGTTCAGCTACGTCGTCGATTCAGCGGCCGAGATGGATACGCAATGCCAGGATTGCTTACCCGAAAGTAGATCTTAAAGAGTTGGTTTACAACGTACAACGTCGCAGGCTTCTTGCTGTACTCTGGCGCGGCGCGATCATTCAACGTCATGGAGAACCCTTTCTTCAGGTTCTGCTCTGCGTTCGCCTGCGATGCATGCAAAGTTCGGACGAGATTCAACCAAGACGGGCGTACCAGCTTGTCCGTCACGTCAATTCCGCGCTTGTTCGACAGCTCGGAGTCAGCATGCTGCGCCAAGACGCGGGTGTCGTACGTGAGTCGCTGCAGCAGAGGCACCAACCAGTTGTTCTGGTCGCGAAAGATCTCTAGAAATTGACTGCCAGCAGGTCAGCTCGAAGCAGCACAGTACTTACGTACATGAAGCCTGCGATTTGCAAGTCGTACGCATCGGCATACTTCTTCTGATGCACCAGTCGCTTGGCCTTGAGGAGTGGAGCGACCAGGTCGTCGTAACCATTGGAAAGCGAGCTCCGACAGATGGAATCAATGGCGCTGTCGCTCTCGTTGATGGGCGCGGAGCCGTCATACGATATTGCGAGCAGCCGCGCGACCTTGTCACTCTGCTGGCGCTGTAGGAACTCTTCAACGTCATTGACAAGATTGCCCACGTTCATCGTGGTCGTGGGGGTTTGCACAACACGGATGTGCCAAAACCAGAGCAAATCATCTTGTGGGTCATACATTCTACTCTTCTTTTGGGCGATTGACAAAAGAAGAGTCCAATTGTTAACATTAGATAAACTCTTAGATACATTCATCATCTATCACAAACATTTTTTATCAACTTCGTGCCCAAACAACTTGCTTGTCGATTTCTCATGTTGTAGGCAGCGAGCTCTCCACCAGCATTCTCATAAGTTCTTGAGATGACACGAATGCTCTATTGCTGCGTCTCGTGCCAGTGAGGTCGAAGGCCAATTGCGTCGTATCGAACTGGTCATCAAATGACCGCTTGCGTCGGGTTTGACGACTGCCA